TCCTGTCGTTGATCCTCGTCCTCGTCTTATTTTAATCCTCCTCCTCTGAAAAGACCATTAGCAGCTGCTCTCTGTCGGAGCTGAAACGAAGCTGAATGTGTCGCAGCCAGAGGAACATGAATTAAACATCCAGGAGACGGAGAATTATGAGCAGTGTCCAGTCTCATGAGGCTGAGCATTAAGAGGCTGGTGTCTCCACCGCCACAGAGACGCTCATCTGTCAGTCTGACGTTCAAACAGATCACATGTTCACCAGAGGAACACAGAACACCACATTTCTTTGATTTAAGATATTTAACTGGGACATTCTTATTAAAACTGGTCATTTAGGCTGTTTCAGACATGAACTGAACCAAAGACGTGTTCCTCACATGTTCCCGACATGTTTCTGGCATGTTCCTCACATGTTCCTCACATGTTCCTGACATGTTCCTCACATGTTTCTGGCATGTTTCTCACATGTTCCTCACATTTTCTGTATGTGAGAACAAATGTCTGATTAAGTGTCTCTGGACATTTTCTGGATCTTCTCCTGCAGCCTCCTAGTAAAACATCTGGAACCTTCACAGTGAGCGAGTGGACATGTTGATGAGGTTTCTAACACGTGACGTACGTGACTCTGGAAGAAAACAATTATCTCTAATAATAATTAAAGCAGTAAAGAAAAGTGTTGTTATTTGATCCCTGACGTTAAACAAAAGGTTTATACTGATTTAAAACTTTTTTTGTGAACATGTTTTTTTACATTTGTCGATCAGCAGCTCGACTCTGAAGGAAAACCATGTTTCACTGAATCTATTTCTTTTCCTCGCAGGAACATTGAAACATTCAGAAACACGTGAAGGTGTGATTTATGTTTTCATCTGTGTGTGCTTCCTTTGTTAGTTTCACAGAAACTATAGATTTCCAGTAAACCTGGTGAAAGGATGTGTTGAGAGTCGGAGAGGAGCAGATTAAAGTTGTGAGATGAACATTTTTTAGCATTTGCATTGATTCTTAGATGAAAACAATCAGACGGGGTTTTCTGAGTGTTTGTGATCTGCTGCAGATCTGAAAATAATCTGAATGTAGTGAATTTAAATGTTCATCATGTTTGAACTTCTGGAGAAAAGACTTCAGATGATAAAGATGGATGACATGACAACTCCCAAAAGTCTATGTCGCCCCCTGGTGTCCTGCTGCGGTATAACCCTCCTCATCCATGTAAGCAGATGGGACACGGACCAAACTAAAAGAATTAAAGTAGACGTTAAATAATTGATTTTCAAAGATGGTTTCTGTCATTTCATGCCATTCTTATCAAATAAAAACAGTCTGAGACGTCATGATTGACAGCTGAGACTGACTCAAGATTGGTAAGGAGGGGTTATACAGATGACTTCATGCCTCTCTCTCTCTCTCTACTTTGATGGATCCTCCTCTTCCTCCTCTTCCTCCTCCTCTCTCTTTCACCACCTTCTATGGCACAAACAGTTGAATCATGGTGCTTCACTGCCATCAAGTGGCAACAGTTTATACAAACCTCCACACACACTGGACCAGAGAGAACAACCACAAAGACACAAAACAACTGCAAACACACAAAATATACAAAATATACATATGTATGTATATATATATATATATATATATATATATATATGTATGTATGTATGTACAGTATATATATATACTGTATATATGTATATGTATGTATGTATGTATGTACAGTATATATATATATATATGTATATATATACTGTATATATGTATATGTATGTACATATTTGTGGTTTTAATCAGCAGTGATGTTGTTTCAATGTTTGTTGAATCATCTGATCTGAAATATTCGAGCTGATTTCTTCTGCATCAGTTCAGACACGTTCCCTCTGAACTTCCCGACCTGTGAATTTGACTCCAGACTCTGAATCTTGAGGTTCACAGCAACAGGAGCTTTTAATTGGACGGTTTGTTGAGTTCAGGGAAACTGAGTCAGAACGTTCACGTGAGAAGAATCAAGATTCATTGGAAAGACTCTTCGGCCATGTTTAAACTGCTCCTCCTCCACAGACGTCCCACATTTAGACTCAGCTCCGTCATACACTGTCAATAAAGAGATGGCGGCTCCATGAAGTGAAGCCAAACCATCTCCATCGCCCCCTGGTAGCTGACTGCAGTACTGAGATAGCTAAAGTTAGAGTCTGTGCAGTCGTGATCGTGGTTAACTTTCTGTCGTTCATCTTGACACTCAATCATTTTACTGCCTCAGTTTAAAATCAGTATTTTGGTAAAAGCCATCAGGACCGAATGTGACCATCATCACCTCAAACTCTTTTCTCCCATCATGCCTCACTGCGTCTGCTGCTGTTGACACAACATTAGAATATGATTTCAGGCTGCCTAATTTTTTTTGGTTTGTTTGTTTTTTAATTTATTTTTCCCTCCTGCGCTGCTGTAAACATAAATCACAGCGAGCGACGCCCGGAGCTCATATAAATGTCAGGACAGACGGCGCCGCTCATAAACCTCTAATTTGATCTTTATTCTTCTGGGACGAGGCCTGAATCAACGCTCACCTACTAAATCATCATTTTCTGCTTCCTGTCAACGAGGCCGAGGAGCGAGATGCATCCATCCGTCTCTGTAGGCCCCGCCTCCTGCTGCTCGTTAGGTAGCTCCGCTCCTGATTGGCTGCTTCACCTCTCGGCTTCATTTAATATAAAAATATGAACATTACTGATAATGATAATTTATGACTCATTTGATTCGTTTAAAAAATTATTTCTAATGTGATCAGTCACATTTTCCTTCCGATGACATGATAAAAAGATATTAATGATTGATTGATGATTATTACCAGTTTATCTGTTTATTGATCACATTTGATTTCACACCTCATTTCTCCAAAGCTTTATTTATTAATGTCTTTATTTATTCTCCAGTTTGGTCGACACAAGCTTTGCCTGGTGGAGTTTTACTGAGATCTACTGGTTGACTGACAGAACTGCACCTGAACAGAGGCTCAGATCAGCAGAGAGCATCAGGTGATGAATTCAAATCACATAGAGATTTATCATGATTTTAGAAAAGTAACGTAAACGTCTTTGAACATGAAAAAAGACGACTCAGTTTG